TCTCTCTCTCTCTCTCTCTCTCTCCCTCCCTCCCTCCCTCCCTCCCTCCCTCCCTCCCTCTCCCTCCCTCCCCCTCCCCCATTCACTCACTAACCTCACTTATAGAGACACATGTACATATGCATATCTAAACACATATGTATGTATATCCGTACGTATGTATGGGTCCCTCTACTCAGTCTGATTTCCAGATCTCTCCCTCATTTTATCTCCGGTTGCCAACGACTGTATCTCCTTCCCCATCTCTCACAGATTGGGGCCCTGCAAGTCCTGGAAGCGGCCTGTGGACACATCACAACGAGGAACACCGTGTATAAACTAGGCGGGATACAGGTGTTGCTGGGGCTGGTTGGGCACACGGTTGTACAGGTGCGGGGTCTGGCAGCGTCTGTGCTGGCCCAGGTGTGCGCTCTGCCCTCTGCGCGGTCTGCTCTGATTAGGGACAACGGCATTCCACCCTTGGTAAGAATCTTCAGGTGCTAACTTATACTACGATTAGGCATATCTAAAAAAATGATAATAATAAAAATAAAAGAATATATTTTTTTAAGTAAATAAGAAATGAATAATTTAAAAATCTATAAAAAAAATTGTATATATGTTGTTCCAGGCTGTTTGAAATGTATAATCTGGATATTGTTGATAGCTTTCCTGGAACATAAACAGAAATTAAACACTGCAAGATTCCAAAGTAGGATGTGTGCTAATCTATTTCCTGGCAATAATGCATCTACGACACATCTAGTACCATGATATTTCTTTGAATAATGATAATAAAATTCATAGAAATAATTACAATAATAATACTAACATTAAAGATAATATTAATAATTACGATAATAATGATAACAATAAAGATATCAATAATCATTACAATAACAATGCTAACAATAAAAATAGTTAGTATAATTATAATGATAATATTAACAATAATGATAATGATAATGATAATAATTATGATAATGATAATGAGAATTACAATAATGATAATGATAATAATTACAATAATGATAATGATAATAATTACAATAATGTAATGATAATTACAATAATGATAACAGCAAAAAAAATCATAATTACAATAATATAACATACAATACACACGCACAAACTAACACACAAAAAACACGCCCACACAAGTACCTCCCCCTCTCAGCCCAACCTCCACCCCTACCTACCCACCCATTCCTGAACCACTTCGTCTCCTTCGTCAGGTGAAGCTCCTTCGCGTGGACACCAACACCCTCCTCAGTAATCAAGACACCGCCATGGCTGTAGAAGGTGCGGCCAGAGCTCTGTGGGCGTGCAGCGTGTCGCGGGCGGGACGGACTGCGCTGCTACGGGCTAGTGGTTTGGAGATGGTGGGCGGCCTTCTGGGTGTGGCGCGTCCGAGCCTCCTTGTGCCTGTCGTGGGCGTCCTCCATCAGTGCGTGGCTGAGGTGAGGAGTTTGGGGAAGAAGTTGAGTGTAATTTGCTAAGCTGATTTAGAAAAAGAAATTTAGTTTATTTAGTTGACTTAGAAAAATAGTTATGTGTAGTTCATTTAGTTTAGTCTATCTCTTAGTCTATCTATCTACTTCATTTAGTTTAGTCTATCTCATAGTCTATCTATCCATCTCTCCAACCCAGGCGGTTTTCCGAGAGCGCGTCGAGGCAGCTGGCTACACCTCCGCCCTGGTCAAGCTGTTGCACTCGCCGACGCCGCAGCTGCAGATCCTCGCTACAAAGGCCATTGCGAGGGTTAGTTGGCTTCTATGGCATCTTGAGGAGGGGTTTGGTGTGTGTGTGGCTGGGTGGTGGTGTGCTTTGGGTGTGTGTGTGTTTTTTTTTTTTTTTTTTTTTTTTTTTTTTTTTTTTTTTTTTTTTTTTGGGGGTTGGGTATGTGTTTTTTTTTTTTTTTTTTTTTTTTTTGGGGGGTTGGGTGTGTGTGTGTGTGTGTTTTTGGGGTGTTTTGTGTGTGTGTGTGTCTGTGTTTGTATATGTGTGTGTTTGTTTGTTTATACATATTTACCTGAGCATATCATATATACACACAATCCACGTCACGAACAGAGCGAACAATCTCCCCCCCCCCCATCCCCTCCACCCTCCCTCCAACCTCCTCCTCCCAACCCCCAACCTCCCTCACCCCTCCCCGACCACCCCCCTCCCTCACCCCCTCGCCACCCCAAACCTCCCTCACCCAAACCCCTCACCCCAACCTCCCTCACCCAACCTCCCTCACCCCCACCTCCCTCACCCCAACCTCCTCACCCCCTCACCCCCAACCTCCCTCACCCCAACCCCCTCACCCCCAACCCCCTCACCCCCAACCCCCCTCACCCCCATCCTCCCTCACCCCACACCCCCAACCTCCCTCACCCCCCTCACCCGCCCCGCAGTGCTCGGTGCTGGAGCCACGACCAACCTCCCTCACCCCAACCTCCCTCACCCCTCACCCCCCCTCCTCACCCCCTCACCCCCACCCCCTCACCCCCCTCACCCACCCCCGCAGTGCTCG